TGGCTCACTTGGGAGAGTGTGGTGCTGATAACACCAAGTCAAGGGTTAAGATCCCTTTACCGGTCATCTTTTAAAAAAATTAAAAATTAAAAATAAATAAATAAATAAAACAGTGCAACAAGTACTCTTGCCTCCTTCTTTGTAGGATGGGAAGGAGGCAGCAGGACCTGAGAAGGCATAGACACATTGCTAGCCAGGCATAAATAACTGAAACTGGGTTCAACAAGCTTGGGAAGTGAGGTGGTTAGAGAAGCTCATTGCGAAGAATGTCAGGAATTCCATAAAAGAGACGTTTTATTCCAGTTTCAAGACGAGTCAGAACAGAAGAGTTTATTGGGCCACCCAAGCTCACCTGTGTGGAAAAGAGATTGCCTGTATCACCTGCTTACGTAAACAAAGGGAAAGGAGTGCACCACAGTGTAAAGAGAAGGCTGATGGAGCCTCCAACACAAGACTATGCTGGAAGAAAGTGTGCCTGGTCCTCTGCTTTCCGTAGGTCTCTAAACCCCAGATTTATCTCCGGATTTATGTCTAAAGAGAAGGCTGATGGAGCCTCCAACACAAGACTATGCTGGAGGAAAATGTGCCTGGTCCTCTGCTTTCCGTAGGTCTCTAAACCCCAGATTTATCTCCGGATTTATGTCCCAGGTCATGCTTGTCAATAAGTGGCAGCTTATCCAGAATAGAGAGAAACTGTTAGCCCAAGCAGTCTGGAGTTTGTTCCAACTCCCCTCATTGATATCACATGAACAATAAACATCTGAAAAGAAACAGAAGTTCCAACCATCCTCCAGAAGAACCACAAAACCCCCAAAGTTATCAGTGCACAGAATAAAAAATACAGAACAACAGAATACAGCCATAAAGTCTCACCCTTGGCTTCGTCTTCACACCATGCTGATGTTTTCTCAGAAGCCTTTCCTTAATTTGAGCATTGTTTGTTGTCTCAAGAAACTGATAATGAGAAACAGTTTTATTTTTGAATATCCAGGAAGTCCTGGTTCCTTTATAATTAATAATTCTTTCTTTAGTTTATGTCTCTCCTCTCTCATTTTATTATAGGCAGTTACAAAAAGCCAGGGTGGCACCTCCAACACATTGCCTGGAAATAACCTTAGCTAAATCACCACATTCATTAAGTTTATTTTGTACTTTCCACCTGACCACAGAAACAGTGTTGCTAAATGTTCTGCCAATAGATAATCAGGGTCCACTTTCCTCCAACTTCTAGTAACATTTTTCTCATTCTCCTTTAAGTATCACTGACTTTGGAACTGTGTGGCAGGCAGAAACCATCTTCCGATCTTTTCACAAACATTCTCCTCAAGGTTCTTCCAGTTTCCACCTGCTGCCCAGCATTAGTACAAAAATTCAACATATGCATATATTAAAATATATAGTCTTTTTTGAATACTGTTATAATCACATTTTCTGTATACAGAAAAATATAGCTTCATTAAAAAGGGTAAAATGCACAAATGGTAATCTAATTTAAAAAAAAGATGTTTCCTATTTAACTTTAGAGTAACCAATGAGAAAATTACAGATTTAAAAGTTATAATTTGGGTTTGGATCTCCATCCCCGCCAGCCACCAGCCCTCGTCCAAAAAATAAATAAATAAATAAATAAAAACAAAAATAAAAGTGGTAGCTCCCCAAATTTAAGTGTACTATAGATTTAGGCCCTTTTTTTTCAGTCAGTGAATTCAGGGGTCCTGGTTAGTCCGTCAAATTCCAGAGATAGTTTTTATTGCTGGGATCCAACTAGGCACAGATTTATGATCCAGTCACTTCAAGTGACCAGTCATCCACACGTTGGGTCCTGGGTTTTTACTGTAGAGGGAATTACAAAAATCTTTGCTGCTTTTACACACTCAAAAATGAATCTGTTGGGCCAGCCTGGTGGCGCACTGCGCGCCGCTTGGGAGTGTGGTGGCGCGCTCCCGCCGAGGGTTCGGATCCCACATACAGACCGGTTCC